GAGTGATTGAAGAAAATGTAACCCCAACTCCAATGTCTGAACAAGAAGATGGTCCAGATCAAGATAGAGTGATTGAAGAAAATGTAACTCCAACTCCAATGCCTCCAAATCCACCTCCAGTTGCCCAAAAAGAACCTATTTATGATATCAGTCGGCTTCCACTTGATCCGGGGGAAAGACAACCCATTGCAAATTATCCAGTCAATGATCAAGATGCAGTTCGACGATCATATATTATTAAAGGTCCATTCCAACCTTATGCACATCAATTTGAAAGTAGAAAAATTGGAAATAGGGATCGACAATTCAATCCTATGTGGTTTTATAAATATCCATGGATTGAATACAGTGTCAAGAAGGAAGCAGCATTTTGCTTTGTGTGCTACTTGTTTGGAAAGGAGAAAAGTAAGAAATCTGCATTTGTTGAAGGTGGTTGGAGAAATTGGAATAGAAATGATGCACTTGATTTACATGTGGGAGGTGTAACAAGTGCTCACAACGCAGCTCAAGAAAGATATAACTTATTTATGACTCCCCATGGAGCAATTGAAGATAAAATTGTGAAGGTGGATAATGAGGAGCGCCGTCTCTACAAGATTAGGTTGACTTATTCACTTAGATGTTTGAGATTTCTTTTGCAGCAAGGATTAGCATTCCGTGGGCATGATGAAAGTGAAGAGTCTAGCAACAGAGGGAACTTCATTGAGCTTTTGAAGTGGCTTGCAGCAAATAATGAAGAGGTCGACAAGTTTGTTTTGAAGAATGCTCCAGGTAATTGCACATTAACTAGTCTAGACATACAAAAAGAAATTATTCAATGTTGTGCAATGGAGACTAGAGATCAAATCATTAAGGAAATTGGGGATGATCACTATACAATTTTAGCTGATGAGTCTAGTGATGTCTCTCATAAAGAACAACTAGCCCTTTGCTTGCATTATGTTGATAAATCAAGAAGGCCATGTGAGCGGTTTCTTGGAATTGTTCATGTAGATGATACTACTTCTTCATCACTTAAGGAAGCAATTCAATCTTTACTAGTTAGTCATGGTTTGACTATAACTCAAATCCGTGGTCAATGCTATGATGGGGCTAGTAACATGAAAGGAGAGATTAAAGGGCTGAAAACCTTGATTATGAAAGAATCACCATCTGCTTATTATGTTCACTGTTTTGCACATCAACTCCAATTGGTTCTTGTTGCTGTTGCCAAAGACAATGATGACTGTGTGTGGTTTTTTGATCGAGTATCCCTCTTGCTAAATATTGTTGGTAGCTCTTATAAGCGTCATGGCATGCTTCGACATCACCAATATGCCAATGTCATGAAAGCACTTGAGTATGGTATACTAGAATCTGGAAGTGGGTTAAATCAAGAGATGGGGCTGCCTAGACCTGGTGACACTCGGTGGGGCTCTCATTATAAAACTGTGGTCAACATGATTGCTATGTATCCCACAATTCACGATGTACTCATAGCTCTTGGACGAGATACTTCACAAAGGGGTGAATGGCCAAAAATACATACTATGGTTGGAATGTTTGAGTCATTTGATTTCATTTTCAGTGCTCATTTGATGCTTGATATTCTTGGACATACAAATGAATTGTCCGAGTGTTTGCAAAGAAAAGACCAAGATATCCTTAATGCAATGTCACTTGTCCGTTTGGCAAAGAGTAAAATGCAACAAATGAGGTCTGAAGGGTGGGTTTCATTTTTTCAAAGGGTTACAATATTTTGCAACAAATATGGTATTCAAGTTCCTGGAATGGAACATAATTATGTGCCATATGGAAGATCAGCATATTTTGCTCAGGACCAAACAAATGATGATCACTTCAGAAGAGAAGTATATATTGGAGTCATTGATAAAATTAGTCAAGAGCTTGACAGTCGGTTTGATGAGGTAAATATGGAGTTGCTTACTTGTATGGCTACTTTGAATCCAGCAGATTCCTTCGCTTCTTTTGATGTAAACAAGGTACATAGACTTGCTAAATTTTACCCTAATGATTTTTCAAGCTCTGACTTGCTAAGACTCGATCTGCAACTTGAAACTTTTATTGATGACATAAGGAAAGATGAAATGTTCAAAGGCCTAAACAATCTTGTTGACCTCTCAGTAAAACTTGTTGAAACAAAGAGGGATAAAGTTTATCATTGGGTCTATTTACTTGTCAAATTGGTATTGCTTCTACCGGTGGCTACTGCAAGTGTTGAAAGAATATTTTCTGCAATGACCTTTATCAAGAATAAGTTGAGAAATAAGATGGGTGATAGCCTTCTCGATGATTGTCTAGTGACTTTTATTGAACGGGATATGTTCTTATAATTGAGTGAAGAAGAGATCATAACACTTTCATGGCTATTAGAAGGCGAAGGCCTGACAAGAAGAAGTAGTAGTGACATATTCTTCTTCAACTATTATAGGTATGTAATATTTCAATCAATTCTACGTTAAGAAAGCTATACTCGTCTATTTTATGAACTCTATATGTCCTTTTTTCCTTAATTGTATTTTGTAATTCATATACTTGTATACTGACAAGTTAAATTTATAGCGGTTAAAAAAATTTAGACAATGGACCACCATAGCTACAAATCCTAGCTACGCCACTGATATCTAGGTGCGTTATACTTAGAGAAGCAAGTTACTAAATGACAAAAAAAATGTGGATAAAACACTAATTTAAATCACATATATAATAATTTTAACTTAGTAATTCATGATGGGGCTCCTAGGCTCCACAAGTATTCAATTCTTGCTATGTATTTGGAGAAACATGCGAAGCTACTCAATTAAGAGAGCATCAGCCACAAACTTTAGCTAATTTTATGTCAGAAATACTAAAATACCCCATGCCCTCTCTATGTCAGAACCACAAAACCCTAGCTTTAAGGCACAAATTGAAGTGCAATCATTGAAAATGATAAAGGATTGGTATAAACTTACCTTCTTGACCAATCTCTTTCATGAGAACGAAGGCCAAAAGTCAAAACCTTCCTTGCATTGAGGGAGATCTTGGAGGCTACTCGCTCCATCTCAAAGAAAAAGTGTGTAATTTTAGTAGAATGGGTTTCTTAGAGCAATGTATTTGTAGCTCAAAAACAATAACGGATTAGAGTTATATTCCCAGCATTTCTGTTATAGTTTGGACTAGATATATAATTAAACCACTTTTAATAAATCTAAAAATATACATATTCGATCTGGATCTTGGACTATGCAAACGGACCCTAGGTTTGTATTAATTAACCTTTTACTTTTGATGAAGTTTATAAAAAAATGTATCGATATATATGTCTCTATTCTAGACGAAGATAGATGGATATTCTCGAATGCCATCAGCAAATGTCGCTATGAAACGTGCCTTTTGATTTTTTTTTTTTTTGTTTAGTCATTTCGCTAAAAAAAAGAACTAGCGGGACCATTTTACGTCAGGCCCTTCCTGGCTTTTATCCCTTTGTTCCTAGACGACGGGCTCCCCTCTCAAACGCGCCCCGTGAGACTTTTTAGAAGTAGAGATCTTATGCAACCCTTCGGGAGGGGCATTTCCTTTCAAACAAGTATAAATTTGCTCTTCGGTTAGTATAAATATGTAACTGTTCATTTAAAATCAATATGATTGTTCTTTTTAAAAAAATATGTTATTGGCAACGGCCGGGCTCAATACCTCCCCCGGGTGGTCGGAATTCAAGTCTTGAGGGGCTCACTCTCGTGGCTTCGGGCACAGCGACCAGGGTGGAGGAAAAAACTCCCTCGTCTCTCCCTCGTCCAGAGCACAGGTCTGTGGCCAGCTCATTTCACGGAGCTATGGTGCCACTATGTATGGGTGGGGCAGAAATTCGAGGGTTTTCTCGATACGCGTGGAAAGATCTTCTGAAGCCGAAATACCCGGGACTGTCTAGCCACCGCAGATTAAGTTTTTTTTTAATATGTTATTCTTCATTCATGCAGGTAAAGATGACATGAAACAAATAATTTAAAATTGGTGGTCTACCAAAGAGGTTAGTATAAATACGTAGCACTGTTCTTTCGAAATTAATATAATTGTTCTTTTTTCAATCGGTTGTTCTACATTGACGGCGTGTAAAAATGACAGGAAAAAGACAAAAAAAAAATTACAGGAAATAAATAATAAAAATAATAGTCTGCCAAAGGCCCAATGGGCCTGAGATGCAGTGGGCCTAGGAAATAACATAAAATAATTATATACAGGAAACAAACAATAAAAAATGGTGGTCTGCCAAAGGCCTAATGGACCTGCGATGCAATGGGGGCCCATTACCCTTCCAAGTTTAGAGGAAGTGAACGGTTTTGGCCATTTTGGGGCTACCAGCAACTCACGCATTGTCCACCTAAAGGGTATTGCGACATGCGAGGCCACTACTCAAACCTGGGAAGGCGGGCCGCGAAAGCAATCACAGGTCCAGGGCCCAAACAGCCACCATCTGGCATCCGCACCATCGCTACTTGGCTCGGCGACGCGTCTGTTGAGGACAGATTATTTAGCTGCTTGGGATATGTGCTAACTGGCGAGGTGGTACAAATTAACGAGAAGTGCCTGCACCAAAAATAAATAAATAAAACGTGTCTGCCGACCGCGCGCGTACACGGCGCACCCCGGCAGGCAGTCCGGCCCCCGCGGGTGAAGCTGTATTTTCACGACTTTGTTTTACATCAAGGTTGGCTCATTGGTTCAGACAGTTTCAAATCGTACACGATCCTGGACGCCCCCAGGATGCAATGCCGGTACACCGAGTAGCGAGCTCGCTCAGTCTAGCCAACATATGAGCCACCTCATTAGCAGTACACCTTACATGAACAGAAGAAACATAAAGAAAACTACATCGTGATCGTGAGAAATGGCAAACATTGATGAGACAATTCTGCACGAAGTGGGCTTCTGCACTTGAGTGGGACAGACTGCAGCAGGAAAAAAATGGAGGTGTTTGTTGTCGTGATATCCTTGAATATAGCGTGATTGACCAGTTCTGATCAAATTGAAGCGAAACTGGTTGCAGGAGAAAAGATGTACATCTTGGTATCATGCACGTCAACTTGAGCGCCAAAAGTTCCTATGACATTTTCTGATAGAGTTTCATGCTGAAAGGAACAATGCAAATTTCATGAGAACTGGTTTTTGTTGACCCAGTGCTTGAAAGGTGAACTGAATTCCCACACTTAATAGCAAACTTTTTTTTTGGCTTATATTACCTTCCACAGGTCCCTAACAGAATAGGCAGCTGATCCATCAAGGCCTACTGCTGGCAGTTTCATTGTAATATTAGCAGTCTCTGAACAACGGTTCCATAGGGCAATAACAAGCCGATTTCCAGACAGGGGACCAGCCCACACCTGCAGCCACGAGTAACATTGTGAGCTTGATGCACTGAAAGTTGAAACTGGGCAAACAAGTTCCATCTCTGATGGCCTTCTATGCAGGCATGAATCAGCTACTCTACTAAAAAAACTTGTGCTTCACTTGATCACAAATGCAAAAATTAATCAAATACTGCCTGCAGATTTGGATGCCAATGAATATGACATAAGCTTTTGCCTAATACATCAAACTAACAACCTACAGGCGTGCACATTGCTAGGCTGTTGCTTGTTGGGTAAAAACCAAATAAAAAAAGTTACTAAATTCTAAATTGATCATGCATAGGCTACAATACTGAAAAAACTCTCACGCACTATGGTCCTGATTATATTTTACAATAGGACAACCCTGTGGCTATAACAGAGTCTATAACGAGTGGGAAATGGACATTCAAATCACCTCGCGGCATCCATATTTTCCTTCTCCTAAAATTTTTCTTCCTTGAACTCCAAGAGGATCTGCAGAAAATACAACACATGCAACTCAATGGTTTATGCAATTATATGAACATTATCAATTTAACTGTTCTGCTGGATATGGTATGTTGGGAAATTATGTACAGAAAAGGAGAAGGTTGTCAGTTGCTATGTAAAAACATATATTTATAGCCTGTGATGCTAAACCATGATAACATGTTCTCTCCCAAAGAAGAATCAGAATAATACCTTGGTTAACTTGAATTACTTCTTTGTTGCTCAATATTTCCATTGTTTCAGAAGTCATGTTTCTGACATCACAGCCAATTAATAGAGGGGCCTGAAGCATAACAGTATATAAGGAACTGCTAGCAGTTAACGCATTAGGATTAGAATATCTCCTTTCTCGCATCCAAATGTAATATCAGTAAGTGGAGAATCGATACTAGTAATACTTGGATAACAATTATCATCTTCAATGAACTGCAGTTTTTATTTTTCAAAACTCATTACCCCTTTACTCAAGTACCTTAAAGCAGTATTAAAAATATGATCGTACAACATCAGTCCAATCTCAATGAAAACTTACCTTCATGAGAGCCCAGATGCTAAAATGTGAGCGATACTCCGCTAAGGTCATGCCACCATTGCCTACTTCCAGCATATCTGGGTCTGCAGAGAAATAGAGGTTCGATAACAGAGTAACAGTATACTGAAAATTCCGAAAAGCACCGGAAATTGCACACAGATTGAACTCCTCACTAACATAATTACCATTCCAACCACCAGGTCCAGCATATGACGCCCACTTGTTGTTCTTATCAGCAATGTCTGTCATGCTTGTTTTCACGAGATACATAAATAAGTCAGTTTGAGAGCACATCAACAGAGGTAATGTTATCTTCCCTTTTTTCGACTGGAAAGAGCTTACCTTTTCCATGTATCTGTTATGTCATCAGTTGTACGCCAACTATTGCCCACTTTGCCAGCCCATAAGGCTGGATCATCCTGGCCCCTAAGTTAAAATAGCATGATAGCACATTACAGAGATCTCAATTCAACAAGCATTGAAGATAAGCATAACATATAACTTGTATCCCCCAAGGAAAGGGACCTACCATTCACACAAAGAGTAGAATATTTGGCGCCCAGTTGAGTTAAGAGCATCTCGCATAGGAGGATATCTACAAATATAACACCATGAAACAAACTTTAGCACACATGTTAAGGCCATATGTGTTCTAAACTGCGATCAACACTAAGGGAAGATATATGAGTCTTCTTGCCTTTTCTGAGGCTTTATTCCCAAATTGTAGCAGTTGTCATACTTTAGGTAATCAATACCCTGAAAACAAACAATTTTCATATTCATGTATTAGTACAATATCTTCATGTTTAAAGGTAGTTCAGCATAGTTAAAGTCCTGAAGTCACAAATAGGTAGGTTGACAAGAACAATTTAAATCAATATTGTACAGAGCGGTAGTTTAGTGGATGCTTCATGCACATACCCATGAAGCAAAGATCGCAGCATCGTCATTTTCATGATCGAGTGATCCAGGTCGAACTTGGCAAGTAAATTTCCTGAAAGATTTATCTTATTGAGATTGTTATTGTCAATGCTAAGTTAACTGTCCAGCAGATACAGAAATTTGAAATTCTATAATTGAGATGTTCACTTACCCAGCATCAGAGTATATACCAAGTTTCAGACCTTTCCCATGCACATAATCTGAAAGGGCTTTGATGCCTGAAGGGAAAGTCTTCGGATCAGGCAGCAATTGATCCTAAATGTTACAAGAAAGATCCATTAGAATTGTACAGATAAGCTAATGATTATGCATGTGTTACAGTATTAGTATATCTTGGGATGAAATAAGCCAATTTTGTGACCCATGAAGGTATACAGATAAACTCAATTTAAAATAAAACGAAAAAAATATATAACAGAGCAACTCAAAAAAAATATTACAGAAGAAGGGTACGCTGTATGGAAAAGTTTAGAACACTGTATAGAGTTGTAAAAAATATTTTGTCGAAACAAAAATCAGAGAATAAACAGTATACAGACAAGGGCATTGTAATACAAAATTAGACATTTTCCCAATTTAGAATATCTGTACCGAGGTCCAGTTTTAACCAAAACCAGGAGAAATGGTCACACATACATTTTGCTAATGAAGTATACAATGAGCCATTCAACAAGTGCAACGAATAAGACTATTTGATCAGTACTTTGTCCAAGCTTGAACATTATGACATACAAATGGTCAAGTAAACTACACATTAACTACCTAATCAATTTCAGCGCATGTCTCAAAATGCAAATTGACAGATAATTTGGGAAAACATGGAATGAAAGCGTCCCATTACCTGCTTTCCTCTTTTCACGTAGGGCCAGCAATCATCTGAAGAAGTAAGCAACAAACGAAAGATAAGATAAATAAAATAGTCTCTGGAGCCAAACAATCCGTCCTATTGAGCCAAGTGGTATACCAATATTTACGAAGTTGTAGCCCAGCGCAGCCAGTCCCGTGGACACCAGCGCGTCAGCTGTTCAATAATAACAGGTGGAGAACATGTCTGAGCAAACTCTGCTTTGGAGAAGGCATTTTGGCAGCTATCACACACACACACACACCACGCAAACACTACTTGCTGCTTGCAAAGAACACTTGAACAGTGAACCGAAGCAGTCCCATATGTATCCAACGGTAATCATTCACCTATGTATGATATGACCTAACTGAATGTATTTTGAGCAGCGGGGGGGCGCACCAAATAAGCGACCATTACGAATTGGGTCAAAACTTTGAAACGGTTGTTACTAAAACTAGAGTAGCGGAACTCCGGATTTGGCAGCGGAAGTTAGGAGGTGGAGGCCGCGATAGAACCGGAACCGAACCTGTCTCGCGGATGACCGTCTCGTTGATGTTGCAGGCGAAGAAATTCCAGCTGTTCCACCTGCGCACACGCAACGTAGTGGAACTGATTTAGAGCTGGCCGAAGCGCGAAGGCAGAGCAAGCGTGGCAGCAGCAGCAGCCTGCAGGCATGAGTTACCCTCCTTACCCCATCTGCGGAGTGAGCGCGAGGCCGTTGTTGAGCTGCAGCCTGCCGTAGTTGGAGGTGTCGTAGAGGCGGCGCAGCGCGGCGGTGGCGAGCGGCTGGATGCGCAGCGGCGCCGCCGCCGCCGGCCGCGGAGGCGAGAGGAGGAGGAGGAGGGCGGAGACGACGAGGAGGGGGAAGGGGAGGCGAGCCGCCGCCTCCATCTCTCCGCTTCGCGATGCGCCCTGCTCCTGCTCTCGCTTGCTTCCCCGCTTCCCCCGAATTTTGAGCGGTTGTTGATCTGTGCGGTGCGGGCGGCGACGCGTGCGAGAAGAGTCTTGTGATGACGGACGCGGACGCCGACGCCGCGCGCGGCGGGTGTTTCAATCATCGGGGGCCCACATGGCATTGACAAGTCCTGGAAGGGGCAGCAGCCAGCAGGGGATGGGAGAAAAAGACGCGAGACAGGTGGCAGCTGGGTCCATTCGTGAATTCTTTTCTCCCTGCCTGGCTGGTCTTTCTAGATGAATTGGAATACTCCAATCTCTCCATCTCAAATTACTGTTAGCCGTCTAAAGATGAGAAAATTATTAGTGAGTAACTATACTAGCTGTTGCGGAACACAAGCTAAATTCAAGAGGACCATGCATCTATTCGACAGACGGATCTGCCCCCATCGAGTCTACTCCAAGTTCAAAGCTAGAATTGTTTTTTTTTTTTGAGTGAGGGAGTAATCTATTATAGTGGGGGAAAAAGGATTTCCCATTTCTAGGTTTATTTTTTTATATATATATAAGTGAGGATTTTCCAGATCCCTTTGTGTGTGCCGCAGTTTGGACGGCTACGGTCTACTCCCTCGGTCTAAAAAAAAAACATAATTCTAGCTTTCAACCTCGGCCGGGAGCATGCAATGGCCGCACAGACGGCGCGGTGGCGACGTCACGCAACCATCGTCGTCGTCACATCTATCAGATCGTAGTCCACGACTCCACGAGACGCGTGCACTACTGGCCCCGTGTCGTGGCCACATCTATCCATCACCATAGGACGGCATATTCTCCTTTTTTTTGCGAATATAGGACGGCATATTCGAGGCTATGCCTTCCACGCTAGCGATAGAGTACCAAGCATTCCATTTCCCATGCGTCCAAGTGTACGTGCACGGATGAAGAATACAGTACATTAGTATTCCTACTTAACGTGTGTGTTTGGTCTTGGGTGTGGTGGAACGAGATGGATTTAACCTAGTTTTCGAGAACGAGACAGTCCTGTTATGTGTTTGGTTGAGGGGATAAAATGGTCCTTGAGTTTCTATTGGGTAGCAGGAACGGAGGTGAACAGATTGGATGATGTACTTAACATCGTTAATCGCTGTTTTACGAGACTAAGCAATGTGTTAACCAGTGGCACATGCTTAATTAACCATCGGATGGAATGTTTTATGGTCGAATCTAAGCAATGTTTAACAAGTGGCGCATGCTTTTATTTAATTAACCATCGGTGAAAACTGAGGATTAGGATAAGCTCAAGGATTAATATTATCAAAAAAATTATTTAATTCACCTTATTCGGCCTTCAACTAACAGAGTTGTAGAGTGGCAAATGGTGGCTTCAGAATTAAGAAAAACAAAAATAAATCACAAAATTGAAAAAAAAACATAAAGATAAAATCACAAGTAGATTTCAAAGCATGGGCAAGAACACCGATCTCAAAAAAAAAGGGGGGGGAAAGAGAAAGAGGGAAAAAAGTCAGAGGCCATTCCATGAAACACTTGACTTTGAGGCCCATACGCTCAGTTGCAGGCCGGACGGACATGGGCCTATATATCAGATTTAGCCGGCCTGCCAACGGCGAGCCAGCACCGCTCCACTCTTCGCTCTCAGGAGCCTCACGCCACTCGCTCGGGGCTCCTCCCCTCCCCTGCTCCACGGCAACACCTGACCTGTCACGAAATTGAAGGACGAGCACGGCGAAACCTACCACACCACACCAACTTTGTCCCATTCCCATGGTTCCTCAAAGCTGAAAGCGAGACATTCCTCGCAGCGCAGAGCACTTGAGCAGTTGGAGCTTTCCGTTCCCATTCCCCTCTACCTCCAGCCACATCTCTGTCCACCGTCGGCTCGGCACCCATGCGCTGCGCGTACGTCGCCATTGGTCAGGCCAGGTCCATCATCACGGGGGGGCCTGGCTGCCTGGGAGAGATGGCGAAATCTTTGTACGTTGCGCATGTCCTCCTCCCGCCATGCGTACTATTTCTGCGCTCTGCCTGGCCGGCGCCTGCCTTCTCGCCCGTGGACTTCCACTGCACTGACGAACCTTACCTGCTGCTGCTGAAGCTGCGGCGACTGCGAACAAGAACAATGCAAGGCCAAGCCCCACTCAGATCGAGCTGAGCTTTTGGGTTGGGTCTGCTGCTCCTTGTTGAGCTGCATGCTCCTCTGCGTTCCCACTGTTAGATCACTGTGGTATAGTATAGCAGCAGTAGGCTCCATGCCTCCATTCATGGCTGCCTGCTGTGGTGGCTGCATCATTTTATTTTACGGAATCCTTTTTTCTTCCCCTCCTAACCTTTTGATGCTAGTATGGAGTATAGATCTGATAATAACAGGCAAAAGATAAAGGTCGCACACAGCCCTGCTCATTGCTGCCTGAAAAGAAAGGAATGAAGGAAACGGGCCCATCGGCATTGGATTGGAGTTGCAGGCTACTCCTACGCCAGGATCAGGATCATCATATCCACAGTTCCTCCTTTCCGCACGGCCGGCCGGCGAGCTCGATCGGCACACAGACGGCACAGCAGGAAGGTGTTATCGGCGCCTGTTTTTTTCACATTTGCCGCTTGACAACCGAAGCTGATCGAGCTGACGAGGACATCAGCTAGCGCTTGTTGCGTTGCTCTGGCTCTGGCCTGTCACTGTGGAGTGAAGTGTGGCACGGGTGAGTTTGAGTGGTGACTGGTGACCATGCCTGAACAGTGCGCTATGCTTTTTCCATTGCTACGGGGCAGCACTGCAGTTCTGCAGCGGCCGGCCAGGGCTACTCCTACTCTCGATTCGAGGAGCAGACCGACCAGTGGATAACTGAAGACGCACAGACACGTCCATTTCACCTGAGGCAGCATCGAGCATAGCATGGGGGCCTGGCCTCGCCTCGCATCCTGGACTGGACAGGGGTCAGGGGCCGCCTGGCCTGAGGACGACGTGTCCTCTTGGAATGCCAGCGGGTTCCCTTCCCTGCTTACCTCTGCACGGGCGTGCATGCCGTGGTTACCATTCACCAGGTTCTCTTCTGTTGCTTTTGCTTTTGTTTCCACGACGGCTCAGCTTTGCTTTGTTTTACACGAAATCCGTTGTTTTTGTTTACTCAGCTGTAACTTTGGCTCATTGAGATCGGCACTAGCGTAGCAATAGTCGAAGAGACCAATTATGGTTCCATGTTTAGAGCTAGTTTGGAAACTCATATTCTCTAGACTTTTTCTAGGGTAAGCAATCCATGAGGATGTTGAGCACGCCAATATCAACAGGTCTAAGCTTTTGTATGCAAAACATCTCACGAAGTGTTTGTCATGAGGTAGTGTAATTATATATATATATATATATATATATATATATATATATATATATATATATATATATATATATATATATAACAATTTCATGTTTCCAAATTCATTAAATTTATATCATTTGGCGCTGTCCTTGTAATACAATTTGTGTTTTTTCAGAGTATGTTGCAAAATTAGGTAAAACTACCTCAAAATGAGGACTTATTGGTATGACCAAAAAAAGGCCGGAGTCACCACATATGAAGAGGCTTCACTAGAAGGGACGAGGCCAAGCACGGCCTAGCGTCGGATGGCGCCAACACCACGCCCCCTAACGCAACTTCCAGGAAAGTCCTAAGGCTCAGGATGACTCCAAGCGTTACTTCACTACTACACAATCCAAGACCTTCGACGAGATTCATCTGATCTCCATCGGAGATATATGCTTTAATTTGTTTGGATAGTTAGGATCAAGAATTAAACAATGTGTCGACGACCAATGAAGGCATGCACGGATATTATGGAAGCCAGAGCAAGAAACACGCGAAGACCAAACCCAAACTTAGATAAGACCAGCCCGCACTGTTCTTGTGTCGGCCAACGCAACCTTGAGATGGCCTCAAATGGAAATATTCATAAGATGAACCTTCTAGATGCATACCTGTTGAAGTCTTCAATTCGCCTATATAGATCGCCTAATTCATAGTTTTGTGAGGGTGATATGGCTTCCGAAAGATCTTTCGGAAGTACTAGGCAGGTTATAGAGAAATAGAAGATGTGTTGTTGGTCAGGGTGTGTTGGAGGTAGGGGGCATTGGCCCCCCTAGTTTCAATAAAATCTCCACCATTATTCATTAAGGTATGAATGTGTAAGATATAAGGAACCGGCTAAATGAGCGTGGATGGACGGTGATCACTAAAAACAAACGCACTAGGCAAAATTTATTAGAGTCACATATAGTCCTTCCTAATTAGTGAGGTTTGCAACCTAAGGTGTGTAAGGTCGAGATGGCGGACTAGAGGGGGGTGAATAGTCCTTTCTAAAACTTAATCGTGTTGGCTAACCGAAACAAGTGCGGAATTAAAACTATCGGTCTAGCCAAGACTACACCCCTCTAACTATGTTCTCTAGCACCTTCCAAAGATACTTAACTAAGCGATAAAGGTGTCGGGCTAGCTATAGATCACCTAACCAATTCTAGAAGTAAGGTCACACAAACCTATGCCACTAGTACTTTAAGCATGGAGGGAGCTCCTACACATGTTAGTAAGTAAAAGCACAAAGCCAACTAAGCTCACTAGCAATGCTCAATAACAAGGCAACCAATGCCAAATTAGAGAGCGCAAATACTTAGTTACACAAACTAAGCAATGTGACTAACAAGGTCACACAAACTAAATTAGCCATGTAAGGGAGCTACTTCTATGCTACACAAGCAAGAAGGTAACTAGTAAGCTACACAAGCTAACTAATTACAAGAGCAACTACACAAGCACAATGTATGCAAAAGAAATTACAAGCTTGTGTAACGAGGATGCAAACCAACGGGAAGATCAAGGTTGACACGGTAATTTTTCTCCCGAGGTTCACGTGTTTGCCAACACGCTAGTCCCCGTTGTGTCGACCGCTCACTTGATGGTTCGGCGGCTAATTGGCATCACCCGTCAAGCCCGCAC